CAGCTTAGGTGGGGGAGGGGAGGGAGCTATTAGAAGGGATAAAATTATAATTATTGTAAATATAGAGATAAATTATAAATACACATAGTTTAGGATTAAAATTATAGATAGCAAAAGTTATGTTTCTACTATAAATACTGTTGTAAATTCTTCATTAATATAAGTTCTCATTTTTTCAAAGTACAGAGCTCGAGTCTCTACTTCTCTATCACTTTCTGGTTTACCAAACAACAATCTTTCTTCCAAATTCTTTGTGTTTAATGTGTATTTTCTACTAAACACACTTTGAAACTCTTCGCAAAAATTGATAATCTTCAATCTCAAGAGTAGGGGTGTGCATAAGTATAAAACTAGATCGAGATTAGAAAAGCCTAATCCTCAAATTGAAGACCAGGCCTTATAAGATTTGCCTAATCTAATTTGGATTAGATTCTTTAGATATGTTTTCGATACAAGTAAATGTATTAACTTTATTTTTTAATTAAAATATTGAATAAAATTTTAGTCAACAATTTGACTAAAACATTTTTAGTTAATCAATAATTTCTTAAAAAAAATAATACAACATATCCACCATTTCTATATTGTTTTTTCACCTTATTATTTCTCTTATAAATTATAAATTTTTAACGTTATCATGATTTTGGAGGAGAGACTAAGTTGATCCAAAAGAAGTAGTTGAAGAATGGAGCTTGGAGATGAATAATGGTCCAACCACTAATGGAGATGACTTTACGACTCTAACACGACAATGGTAGACAAGGCTATTGGAGAGGAAAAAATGAGGCACTAGTGAGACTATATTTAGGGTTTTTAACTTTTTCTTTTTGTTACCAGTTCAAACCAAAACTAACTAGGATTGAATTGATTTGGATCAAATTTTTTAATCTATATATTTAAGGATTAAAGATCAGAATGGTCATGTGCTCAATCTAGTCTGATCAAGATAGAATGAACCAGTCTGGTCTAATTTTCTAGTTCGAACTGAAATCTACACATCTTTACCTGAGAGTTAAATGTATAAAACATAATCATTAACCACTCAAACAATTCTAAAATCAATTTAAATTTTAAGGCATCACTTTCCAACATTTCCTCATTGTCTTCCACATGCATTACTAGTTTAGGAAATATTTCATTTCCACATGTCATCTTATCTCATTCATGTTTGGCAACATCTAAAGACAAAATCTCATCCTTATTATGTTTGTTAGTGTTCAATGGTATCACATTGCTCCAAGTGTTTACAAGGTCAATAACACCACCATATATGATAAAAAAGAAGCATTAAATTTACACCTATTTATTTCTATGATGACGAATTGCCCTCCTCCTCATCCCTTTTATTCTTATTGGCTTCAACTAGAGGTTACCTTAATCTACTTTGTTCCCCTCTTATATGCTTCAATATACGCTCCTTCTTCGTTTTTCTTCAGTCATGGCAATCTCCATTATTTTTTTCCCGCCTAACTAGTTTTTGGTACAGCAACCCATTTATTTTTTCCAAACTTATAGGCCTTTATTTAGGGTTTAAAATGTGCTTTTTAAGGAATATTTAGCTTGTTTATTTACCATAAATTCTTTTCTTTGGGTTAGATGGAACTTAAGCTTTCTTGGGTTTTATTTTTGAAATATGAGACACCCGTCCTACTCCCTTTAATACCATTCATTATCTACTTGATTTTCCTATAGTTTTGTCATATCTATATATGATTTCCTTATTGTTTCTTGCTGTATCATTTTTAATTAAAATGTATGTAACGGCCCCAGAATTTAAAATGAAATATGTGTATTAAAAACGTCAAATGCGGAAGTGAAGTCAAAATTTCGATTAACATCCCTTACACAAAAACCAAAAACGTGCTCAAAATATAAAAGATCAAACTAACTAAAAGAAACTCGAAAGTAAAAGCTATGAATATGACTATGGAGTCTTTAGGCGTCCCCTTCGTCGTCTTCCTGCGGAACGGGCTAGGGAACAATGTCTTCCTGATCTGAAATGATTAAATAAGGAATGAGCTACACTAGCCCAGTAAAGACATCACGATATATCACCGTCACGGAGGTAAAGGTGGGTAGAAAACACAAAAAGACCAATGGAGCATAATTTACAACAAATCCTTTTATCCATAATAAATCCTTTACCATCCACTTACCTCGGTGAAATTCATAAAACAATATACGAAAGCAATAACATTATCATCATCATGAAATCATATAAACTGTATAACATAATACTTATCACGCCTTTTATAATTCAATCATTACACAACATATTTTCCTCATTTACCAGCCCACTAGTATTCATGGGGATCCATAGGGGTCCCGCTACCCGTTAACCCTTAACACTTGAAATCAGATTCCAGGGCCGTCCTTATACCCTGTCTGGTATAGGCGCCAAAACTATAAACCTCATTACCCCGTCCGGTATGAGGGTGAAACGGGCCGTCCCCATACCCCGTCCGGTATGGGCGCCAAAACACATAAGGTCTCCATACCCCGTCCGGTATGGGCGCCAAAACACATAAGGTCTCCATACCCCGTCCGGTATGAGAGACCACAATCCCGGTAGGGTTCCCTACGGACCCAGTCCGTCCACCATCTCCCAGGATATCTAGTCAGACTGACCACATTATACAATCATCAATTTACATAATCTTTCATTCTCCTTTTCCTCAGTCAGCGTCATCAATTTACATACAAACAAGCAAACAGTTATTTATGCCAAACAAGACAATATACAGCATCGGTTTCTCAGTCATTCAACCCATAATCAATAAAACAGTAAAATATGCACGCGAAACAATGAAATGAAAACATCAGACCTCATACTGCATTTAAAACTGTAAAATATGTCAAATAACAGTTAACCGACAAACACACTATACTCGAGCTCCATTAGCGACCTTAAGCAATTTCACACATTCGTTGATTCAAGAAATACCGTTTTATCATTATTGAACTTTAATACCGTGATAGGAAATAGGGTGAGGGGTCCTTACTCGTTTCGGGGTCCGAATACGGCTTCACAGTGCGCCTACAGGCTGTCCCTAATTTTTTCTGAATTTTTTCCGGGGAACTGAAACGCACTACTGGTACTTGCACGTGTTCCAAAAAATCCCAAATTAGGCCCAGAGCCCCTTTTTGGCCAATATCGCAATTCCGGCATGGCGGCTCCACCGTGCTCCGGCGACGGCGCAGCGGCGATTCGCCTCGGTTTGGCCGTTTTCGGCCCTTTCCGGCCGAATTCGGCCACACTTGCATCGGTCCTTGCGATAAAACAATCCTAGGGCCCTCGGGGGGCCAAAAAATTACGGAAAACCGAAGCTTACCGGCGGCGGTGCTCTCGGGTGCGGCGGCTCTCCGGTGAGGTTCGTGTTTCGGCCGTGTTTTTCAGCCGTTTGGCCGGGATTTTGGCTCAGATTTGGCCACATGAGAAATCAGCGTGGAAAAACGAGTCGGGGGTATGAAATTTATCTCGATCGGCGGTCGGAAATCTCCCCAGTGCGGCGGCCGGTGGCGGCGGCCGGCTTCTCCAGCGTCTGATTCGTCTTCTCCGGCGAGGGCAGGCAGCTAGGGTTTTTGTGGTCAGGTGTGGGGGTTCTATTTATACCCTTTTGCCTTTTGATCTCAGCCGTCCATTTTGATTTAATCTGGGCCGTCCGTTTTTGATTGAATCTGGGTCGTCCGTGCGATTGCATCTGGGTCGTCCGTGCGCACACTTGATCTGGGCCGTCCGATCGCGCGTACGCGGATCGCCAACGTGGTTCGTCCCCGGTCGACGTGGTTTTGCCACGTGGCAGGTCCTGGTTGGCCAAGACTGCTGACTGGGTCTGCTGACATGGTTGATGACGTGGCGCTTTTTTTTTTTAAAGAAACCTAATAAAAATATTTAATAATAAAATAATAAATTTTTTCCCACATTTTCCGGGCGTTACAATGTAAGTTTCATAATATAATCATGCAGGAAAATGTTAATACTCATTTTTTTAACTCCTATAAAATGTATTTTTTCATTAACTTCTCTTTTTAAGGCCCCCTTATGAGTCACCCATGGTAGTTTAAAGATTTTTCCTACCACACCACCCACTACTTATGCCATCCTCAACCACCTATTTATCTTTATCAGAAATATAAATACTCATCATTTTCGCTTGTGATGTCTCCTTTAATGTTAAGAATCTCCTCCTTCATTAGCACCTAAAACTACCCACATAATGTGTTTCTTTCCACCATACTCCTTAACTCTGAACCTTTATCTTCCTTCCAAAAAACTATTAAACTTTTAATTAACCATTTTATACCCTCTATTGAAAAGATTATTATTTAATATAGAATTCTTTTAGTTCTCGTTTGAATTAATGTATTTTAATAATCTTTAGCCAAAATAATGTAGAAGGATTCTTCCTCTATTACCACAAATTTTTTTATAGGATAAGCTCTCATGACATTCCAAATCTCTTTTCTCAACTACGAGTTTGTTATTATTATAATAATATAATATAAAGAACAATTACCCCACCTAAGATAAAAAAGTATTTAAGATCCATTTTGCTGTGAGTTGATAAAAGTGTTTTTAAAATTACTTTTGGAAAAAAAAAAAAAAACTTGAAGGTAAAAAATAATATAATTTTTAATAAAATTTATTGCAAAAAGTACCTTAAATATAAAATATAGCATTATATCTAATTAATTATGTCATAAAATTAAAAGTAAATATTAAATTTTAATTTTAATTTATCATTTGATTTCAAAATAAAATTATTTAAATAATTTATAATAAATTAAAATAAAATTTAAATTGTATTTTTATTTTAAAAATATTAAACTTATTAATTAATAAAGCATAAAAAATGATTAATATTTTTCATATAATAAGTCATTTCTCAAAAGCATATGTTTTCTTTTTTCTTTTTTATTTTTATTTTTTCTTTATCTATATAACAAACAATAACTTATTAGTTAACACACACATCCTTATATTTCTTTTTTTTTTTTCTCTAGTTATTAATTTTTGCCAAAACATGAAGTTAGAGAATTGGAGAAAATGGAAAGAAAACGAAATGAAGCTGTTTAATATTTCAGACAAACAGTCCTCCTTGGAAAAGTGGTAGAATCGCAGCATTGAGGAAAGTGGATAACGTTCTTCTTCTTGCTGGTTGACGGCGCCCAACATCAACTAACTTCTGTTTTCCTTCCTCAAAATGGCTGCTTCATTTTCCCTTCATCACCTCACCCACTGCTTCCTCTCCAGCTCCCGGGTACCTCCAATTTCTCTCTCTCTCTCTCTCTCTCTCTCTCTCTCTCTACAGATATGTATGTATGTGTAACTGTTGATTGCTTTTAATCTGTTTGTCTCTTTCAAATGGGTATAAATGTGTATGTGAAATCAAAACAGAGCAAGGTTTTGTCCAATGGATGGTCACGGAGACCAGGAGGCAGATACTCATTCAGCGGTGGAGCTGACGACAGAGGTCGACCCATCAGGGCTGCAGTTGAAACGCCTCCTTTCCCTCTCTTTCAACCTCCCCCACTCGAAGAATCTCCTTCCGAGGTAGTAATTAATCTTCCAACTTCATCTGCTTTTGGTTTGTCGGGAACATTGCCGGAAACAATTCCTTTTATTTGCATATATATATATATATATATGTGGTTTTTTTTGCCTTTCTACACATAAAAACATCGGTTCTTCAAATCTTTTATCTCTTGCTAGAAGATATTTACGAAGATGATGGTCCACTTAGCTGAGTTGCTAACTTTTGTCACTATGCTAAGAGAATATTTGGCTGGGATAAGGTTTTCTTCTGCATAATATGTTTACTACCAAAGCAAAATTATGTATAACCATCATCGTATGTTTCTTTCTCTTCTTACGCTTTTTATAGGATTAAAGGAATTTTTGCTTATAAATTATGGAATTTTTTAATTTAAATTGTTTTTTTTGCTTGTCTATAAATTCCAACTGCCAAGCGCCTAAATATTTGGCCCTTCTGTAAATCATAGTTGGAGCCAGCAGATCCTGATTTCTACAAGATTGGGTATGTTCGAAGTACAAGAGCATATGGCATTGAATTTAAGGAAGGTCCAGATGGATTTGGGGTTTATGCTTCCAAAGATGTGGAACCACTTCGACGTGCCAGGGTAAGTAGCTTCATCTAGAATGGTCTACTAATGTAAATCAATGGCAGTCTGCTCTTTCTTTCACAGTATTGTGGCAGTTGGAGTGTGCTTAATTGCTTTGGTTATATTTAGCAGTAGCATGTAGTGTAATGTTCCTATTATAGGAACCTTTTGTTATAATTTCTTTTTTTGAAATAAAAAGTATGGTAAGACTCGTGAATTCAAAAGCACCAAAGGAGTGCTAACCTATGTATAAAAAATATTTACATATCAATCAAAATATCAATAAAGTCTCCAAAGTCTTCTATTATATAAAGAGGATGACTCATAATAAAAAAAATTAGAGTTTGGAACCATCTATATCTAACTATATCAAAGTCATCTGCTACCCCTTCAAAAACTCTCTTGGTTCTCTCCTTCCACACCACCCAAAATATAGTATGGCGAATGAGACTCACATGTTTTCTCTCCATTAATATCTTTGCAAGCCCATATCTATTCCCTCACTAATCCAAACATCACCCAACTGATCCTTAATAACCAGTAAGCCATGATTCATAATTTATATGCAAGTGGACACCAAAGAAGGATGTGATTGCAAGACTCCTCTTTCCTCTTGCATAGAAAACATTCATTCACTAATATTTTTGTCCCTCCTCATCAACATATCAATAGTAAGGATACACCTACAACCTACTTCCCATGCAAGAAAACAACTCTGGGTGGAGCATTAACTTTCCAGATTTGCTGAAATGGAGAATTGATCTTCATGTGTCATTCTCTAGTATTGAGTTTCCAAGTTAGTTGGTTATTACTCTTGTTAATTGAAGTCTTTTGTTATAATAGTTGCTAGATTCAATTGTAATTATTCCTTCCGTTATAATTGTTGATGGTTCTTATTTGTTATGCCGATATTAATTAATTTATTTGGGTTTCCTCATTTTACAATTATGATTGCATAATTCCCTGCACAGGTAATCATGGAAATTCCTTTAGAGTTGATGTTAACTATAAGGCAGAAACTCCCGTGGATGTTTTTCCCTGATATAGTGCCAATAGGTCATCCAATATTTGATATTATCAACTCAACTAATCCAGAGGTAATTGTATTTTTTGTGTATCATCATTATAGGCTCTCTGTTATACCTGTTTCCACATTTTTGTATACATGTAATCGATGTTGCTGTGCGGCAGACAGATTGGGATCTCAGGTTAGCATGCCTTCTTTTGTACGCATTTGATCGGGAAGATAACTTTTGGCAACTATACGGTGACTTCTTACCCAGTGCAGATGAGTGCACCAGCTTGCTTCTAGCTACTGAGGTGTGTGCACATAATCAAAAAGCTTAATGTAATATGCCATTGTTTATGTTTTACTTTTTCTTCTTCGTATATGACTCGTTATTGGTCATAGTCTTTCATAAATAATCATGTCAACTACCTGGCATTAGAAATTGCTATGCATGTTTGTTTTACTTATTTTAGTTTAGTCAGTTTAGTTTAGATATATGTGTTATACTATGTTTGTTTTGCTTTGTTTTGTCTTTTTTTCTTTCTTAAGGTCTATTTATATAGAGGTGAGATTCCAGAAGCAGGGACTAGGTGAATGACTTGAGATAACAGTTGGTACTCATGCATTGATTATTATTGCAAAGATGGGGTGTAATTATCAGTATTCATATATTTCTTTGACTTTCAGCATCCAAGCTCTGAAATATAATAATAGGATTCTTCAAGCAAGCAATCACTTAGTGCTACCTTGAGATCATCTGGTTGTTTATCTTAGTCTGCTAAACTGTCCTATTTATGGTGGCATCTATAATATCTTTGAAACCTTATACAGGCTTCATTCCGAAATATGAAATTTCAAATACATGTCTATATTAATGTGGCCCATTTGGAGGACAATGTGGTTACATTTTCGCCTAAGAAGTGTTATCGTTTATGTACTTCAACATTGTAGGCCACTTTTTCTCTTTTATGAACATGTGATGACCAGCCATCATCTTATCCTATATCTTTTGAATAATCTATTTTATCTGTCATTCGATCTTGCATTGATCAGGCTTAGCCTGCCTTGTTTTGTTCAGCGATTGTTTGATCGCCATTCACCATAAGTTGACACGTTAACCTATAAAGTAAAACTGAATTATGAAGGCTCTATTTGACAATATTTCTCATTCTGCTCCTCTACATTTTCTTTAGGATGATCTTTTGGAGCTTCAAGATCCAGATCTTGCTTCGACTATGAGACAACAACAACAACGTGTCTTAGAGTTTTGGGAAAAGAATTGGGTATATAGCAAGCTTTGCACCAGTGCAGCATTAAGCATTGCATTTACTGATACAATTATCTATTTTTCCATCTTTATGAAGACTTGTTTGTTCTTTTCATGTGATTCAGCATTCTGGTGTGCCACTCAAAATTAAACGACTTGCTTGTGATCCTGAGAGATTCAAGTGGGCAGTAAGTATAGCACAATCACGGTGCATAAACATGCAAATTAGAGTTGGTGCACTAGTTCAAGATGCCAATATGCTAATCTTATGCTGGTAAATGTATTCTCCAAAAATTTGCTCTATATTTCTAAGATTTTTTGTTGTAGTCTTGTTGTTTGCAATGTCAAAACCACATGTACTTGCTTTGGTTAGAAGAGTCCAATGTTCAATCCATTATTGATCCCAATTAGGCCAATATTTTCCTATATCATTTCTGTGGGTACATAGGATTGGGAGCTGGGATCTCTATGTTTACCTACTTCAATGCAATTTTTCAATGAATGAAGAGTAAAATTACAACCTCAACTTCTTTAGAAAAAGAAGCATCGCGTATTATGCACAACACAGAAACAAAAAAGCAAGAGCGATATGTTATTGAAGTTTTTGGACTACAAAACATGTTCTGTCAAAAAGAAATTTGTTTAGGGGTTGATACTGTCAGAAAGGGATCAAAGATGACGTCCCTCCAATATTAATTCAATAATGATGACAGTTTGTACCGGAAGTAACTTTAAAGTCTGAGAAGAAGATTGTTTTTACTTCCTGTTAGCTGAAACAGTTCAAAACTTTAATTTGTTTTTAGTTCAACAAGAAGAATGGTGTTTGAACTGTCAGATGGTAATGCAGGAAAAGTTCTATGCACCCCTTGTAAAAAAGAAATATAGATTAGGAGCTTTTTCTGTATGCTATCTTTGATGACCATCAATTACTTGTTCATTAAATAGAGGGAAAATGATCTTTGGTCTAGATTAAAGTGCTCTAAATTTCTCTTGATCTTTGGTCTAATGTAAGCATTTATTCCTTTTCTTTTGCTGCTTCATATCACCATTTTATAAATATGTCAATTTATCTGCAGTATGTGATATGAAAAAAATATTCTAAAGTGAAATGTCATGGCAATTTTCCTGAAAGTTGGTATGACCTTCAGTTGATAATTTAACGGTTCAGGATTTTCTAATTGCAAATAAAAAACACATAACTAGCTAGGAGATGATTGGTTGCCTAATGTGTCAAA